CCATTGAGAATTCATGTGTATTGCCTTTCATTTACTTCTTTGCATTCTTTTTTTATTGAAGTGAAGCAAAATAGTTTCTCTTGAAAGAAATGTTGAGAAATGGTGAGGGGAGAGAAAGAGAGAGCAAGAGAGAGAGAGAGAAAGATACTTATTCGAAAGAGGGCTTCTCCAGAGAGGGGTAAAAAGTGCCAAGAATGGGAGTAAGTTGTACACAATCTCTCAAAATTGTCTTGGTTTGTAGTTCTCAGCATACTTACAAGTTAATATGGGTGCTGTCACAGGGAAAGCCTTTCATATTTGTATGCATATTATTACCAAGACCTGTAGATTCTCGTCTAACTTCTCTTTTCCTGAGGAGATTCACTCTTTTCTGAGTGCTACATCAACTTCTTTATCTTCAGAGATCTCAGGATTCTCATCTCAAAGGTCTCCCTGCCTTTGAGCTACTTCAGGGTTAGGCAATTTCCCTTAAGCTTTATTATTTCCCAAAAGTTCATTATGGGGCACCCCTATCTCTCTGCTACAACATTCCCCATGAAAGACTGCACCTCCTTAAATATTTTAAGGGGTACATGGGTGAAGGCCCATCTTATAGAATGTCTTCATGAGAGCAACCCTTTTGCCTTTGTAAGGGAGTGAAACTTTTGCTTAATATTAATGGGGCCCAGGCAGTGGTGTTGTTGGGTTTCAGAGTTATCCGTAGGAAAGAGAAATCGGAGCAATTAAACCATTTGAAAACCTTAGGCCATGGAGGAGAAAAACTTTCCCTGGCCCAAGGAAGACAGAATGTTGAAGAAACAAGAAAATAATGTCCATAACATAAGCTTTCCCCCTTTGTTTTGGTTTCTCATGAGTCTGCTGTAAAAGAGATCGTTAGCTTCTGTTTCTGCTGATCACTTATGAAGATGTGTTCAAAGTTAAAAGATACATAGCTTAGTTTTTCATGCCAGTTTTTCTATTTTTTTTTTTGCCCCCTGTTCTTTTCCTTCAAGACATTGTTGGGTTCATAGCAATAGTTTTATTTTTCTCTCTGTCATAGTCTGGTCATTGTGGTGTGTAGATGGAGCTGGTTTTATCCTGGAGGAATGAATCTGACTAGAAAATTCATTGAGTTTTATAACACTGGAGGTGCTTGAGATATCTTGATAACGTTCATTCCATTTACGCATTAGTTGGTCAGAAGAGGCTCTGGTTTGTCAGGTTTTTGCATTTGGTTTCTTTTCATTATTTGGTTTGGTTGTTTGGGGGACCATATCTGTCTGTGTTTAGAACTTACTCCTGGCTCCGCACTCAGGGATCACTCCTGATGGGACTCAGGGGACCATTGAATTAGCCTTGTGCAAGGCAAGTGCCCTAACCAATGGACTACATCTCTGGCCCCTGTTTTCAGTTAGACCCAACTAACAGGCTGAGTTTTAGTTGAAGTTAATTCTCTGTTTGAGTGAAGTAGCACTGTAACACTGTCCTCCCGTTGTTCAGTGATTTGCTCGAGTGGGCACCAGTAATATCTCCATTATGAGACTTGTTGTTACTGTTTTTGGTATATCAAACATGTCACAGGTAGCTTGTCAGGCTTTGCTGTGCGGGCAGGATACTCTCAGTAGCTTGCAGGGCTCTTAATAGGCATTAGTGTACAGTCATCCTCAGGTGGCATCCAGTAGTCTCTGAAGTGACCCAATTGAAAAGAACCTCATTTGTTGGAATCTCATCCCTCCATCAAGCCAGTCCATGGACTAGATAAGTCAGTCCTCTCCTCTGTCTGCTATGGGTTGGTTCCAACTACCTAGACTACTGTGTTTGCTTTGGAACCATCAGCTAAACTTCCCTGTAATCTTACTTCAGACTTCTGTATTGCAAATCAGAGTTGATCTTCTCATTTCTCTGCTGAAAAGCTTGGCATAGTTTCTCTTCACCTGTACAGTGGCATGCAGATCCATCCTGGGTCCCTACAGGATCTTCATTTCCTCTCTACCCCGATGGCCACCTCTTTATGTTTTGACATCTCTCATCTTCCCCATCTGCATACTCTCTACCCTAACCTACCTGTCATTATCATATCTTGATATTTAAAAGTTCTGCCTTTTGGATTAGTATAATAGCCAGATATGAAGCAACCCAAATGCCCAAGGACAGATGAATGGATAAGGAAGCTGTAGTTTATACGAAATATTATGCAGCCATAATAAAAGGTGGAATTTCACAGTTTGCTACAGCTTGAATGGAGCTGGAGGGTATCATGTGAAACAAAGTAAGTCAGTGTAGGAAGGGCAAATATCAAATGGTCTCACTTATCTATGATATATAGAGAAATAAGAGAATAGCAGTGTGAAATGATAACAACACTTTGGCTCTATATGACAGAACCAGGATTACAGAGCTGTTGGGAAGGGTTCTGGGATAGGAAGGAAGAGGTGAAACTGGACATTGTATTGGGGCTTAGGAACTGTGGTGGTGTACGGTATCATAACTGTACATCTAAACCATGCATGTTGGGATCAGAAAGATAGTAGAAAAGTTAAGGTACTTTCCATGCATATCCTCAGTACTCCTTTAATCTCCTTCTCCACTAACAGTGATCCCTAAACATCGGACCAGGAGTAAGCCCTGAGCACCACTGGGTGTTGCCCAGAATTAAAGGAAAAAAAAACCCACCATCTATATTAATACTACTGTAAACATGACTAAACTATAATAATGAAACAAATTTCAGTATGATTTACTTTTCTTTTAGAACTTCTACCTTCAAGACTGGAGCAGTAATCCAGTGGGTAGGGTATTTGCCTTGCACATACTGACCTGTGTTTGATCCCTAGTACCCCGGTGGTCCCCTGAGCCCACTAGTAGTGATCCCTAAGAGAATAGCCAGGAGTAAGCCCTGAGTATTGCCAGATGTCATCCCAAATAAATAACCAAAAAAAGTGAAAAATTAGAAGCTCTGCATTTCTCCTTGCTGTCCTAGGACAGTTATGTTTTGCTGGATTGACCTCTTCCTCTCGAGACAGCTCTAATGCTTTTCTTCATGTCCCCTGGGCCACTGAAGCTCGAGCCCTCCATGGCAGGGATGCATCATTGATCTCCCTCTATTTCTATCACCTAGTGCCAAGCCTCACTTTCACCGAAGATATTTATAGAAGGACTAACCAAAATGAACAAATGATAAAAGCCTGAAAGACGGGTGATCGTAACGCAACCAGATGGAAGTGATCACTCCTGTTTGTTACCCAGACACTTCGTTCCTCTTCTTATTATTATCCATTATATTTCAGTGTTGGAGTGCCCAGATTTCTATTTCTGGATTGTTCATTTCATCTCTCTCTCTCTCTATATATATATATAGATAGATAGATATAATATATATATATATATATATATATATATATATATATATATAGGGCTGGAGCAATAGCACAGCGGTAGGGCGTTCGCCTTACAAGCGGCCAACATGGCCGACCCGAGTTCGATTCCTCCGCCCCTCTCGGAGAGCCCAGCAAGCCACCGAGAGTATTCGATATGCCAAACACAGTAACAACAAAGTCTCCAATGGAGACGTTACTGGGCCCGCTCGAGCAAATCGACGATCAACGGGAGGGCCTTTACCTTTACATATATATATATATATATATATATATATATATATATATATGGCCTTTGCCTTACAAGCAGCCATTTGGCCGACCCAAGTTCGATTCCTCTGCCCCTCTCAGTGCGCCCGCACGGCAGAGCCTGGCAAGCTCCCCGTGACATATTCGATATGCCAAACACAGTAACAACAAGTCTTATGATGGAGACATTACTGGGCCTGCTCGAGCTAATCGATGAACAACGGGAGAACCGTGACTGTGACCGTGAGATATATATATATATATATATATATATATATATATATATATTTCCAATTTTCTTTATTTTTTCTTCTTGGTATAATCACCCATGACTTATGGTGCGGTCAGTGTTAGGTGGGCTGCCACTATGTCCTGAAAAGAATGGCGGGGGAAGGGGTGGGTGTGTGTTGAGAGCTTCAATTTAACAAGGAGTGACCTGGATTAGACTCAGGAGGTCAAAAGTCTAGATAGTGTCAGGCTTCCTCACTGCTTTTTCTTTCAACTCTGGCAGCTTCTCGGGTACCTTTAACCCAGTTCTCATGGGTAAAACTAAGATGACTAGAGTCTCTGGAATAAGCCAGTTGTATATTATCATTAGTGCAATTTCTGCTTTTACTGAATTTCTGGCACAACTGTGCCAAATATCTCTCTGGAGGCTGGAATGATGCAAATTATGGGTGATAATAGTCGGTTAGATCTGGTGGGTTTGGTGACAATTGGTTAGGAATGTTGGGGCTGGAGCAATGTTAGAATGGGTAGGGTGCTTGCCTTACATGCTGCAAATCGGGGTTCGGTTCCCAGCAACCCTTCTGGTCCCCTGAACACCATGAGGAATAATTCCTAAGTGCAGAACCAGGAGCAACACAGTAACCCCTGAGTCTCACTGGATGTGCCCCTCCCCAAAACAAAGCAAAACAAAAAAATTTTATTTTTCTCCCAGATATTCATCTTTTGCATTTTTCATCCTTCTTGTTTATGAATCATACCTTGCTGTGCAAAGACAGTGCTCAGGAGCAAACTCAGCTGTATGCAGGGCAGACACTTTACCACTGTGTTATCTCTCCATCCCTCTAACAGAAATTGTTTCATTTGTGAGGGGATGTTTGTGGCACCCCTCACTCCGTGCCCATGTGGTTTTTGCCACTGCTCTATTCTTAGAGCTGCATTAAGTGGGAAAATAGATCATATTCATTGCATGTTTTCAGTGTACTGAATACTGCATTGAAATGTCCCTGGGACTCTTACTTCATTAATATTTTATTGGAGAGACACAGACTAGAGGATTGTACAATTGCGCAGAACCACACAGCCACATGGGGCTGAACCAGACTGAAGCTGACCTCTCTCTCTCTCTCTCTCTCTCTCTCTCTCTCTCATTCTCTCTCTCTCTGCCCGCAGAATCAAGAAGCTGAAGGAGACTCTAGTGGCCGTCCAGCAGCTCGATAAGAACATGAGCAGCCTGAGGTCGTGGTTGGCTCACATTGAATCAGAGCTGGCCAAGCCGATCGTCTATGACTCCTGTGACTCCGAAGAGATCCAGAAGAAGCTCAATGAGCAGCAGGTAAAATGTAAAACGATGCCAGGAAAGGCCACCATTTCTGGAATATCTAGACTCCCGGCCAGGCTTGAGAGATGGTGAGATGGTGCCCGGGTGGAAGAGTAGGAGAAGGCTAAAGTATGTGAGGGAGGCAGGCGCCTTGGGCAGGTGCTCTAGGTAAATAAGGTCCTCATCACTTGCCTTGGGATGCTCCTAACATCAGAGAATTAATAGCCCCCCCATTTACCAACATATGGTCCAACAGGAGACGCGAGTGAGTTGCAGTGATGGATCTGAAACAGGATTCTCCTTTGTTCTTGGCTGGGGGTTAGCGAGTCCACTACCAGAGATGCAGGAAGGAGACCCCACCCCAGTATCTTGTGTTCCAGGAGGATAGCATGTTCTACACGGGCTGTAATTTCACTACGTGTGACAAAGGCAGCACAATAAAGCAAGAGATTAGCCCGGGAACATGCAGACAGAAGCCATTGTCAACTCCCATGCCCCTTGCTTATTCTTACTCCGCATGTGAGAGTCCAGGGGTCAGCAGTAAAATGGCTTCTCTGTGCCTTTAGATTGTCTTTGAGCATTCTAGCCAGGCTCTGTTCTGCCCCTCTAAGATCTTATAAGTACACCGTGATGGACAAATTGTGTAACTTAAAGATGGTATCAAATACAAATTGCTTAACTGAAAGGCAGTATCAAATTCAAATTGCTTAACTGAAAGATAGTATCAAATACAAAGGGCACGTTTTCTGAAATTTTATGAAATAATTGATGTGCTTTTATTTTATAACCTATGCTAAAATGAGAGTGGGGATTAAAATATTTTTAGGTGTTGGGGCTACCTTGGTGTTTATCATTATTCATTTTAGAGAATATTATTTGCAGGAGCTTTTCCAGTATTGCAACATTAAAACTTTTGGTGGACTCTGAGGTTTGAGATTCTGATGATCGAATGTTGGGTATTTTGCTGAGCCTCCTACCCCAAAATTCTTCTGGAGAATTTCTGCTGGTCTTGTCCATCAGCGGTAGCAGTTAAATGCTAATGACCAGTATTTCCATTTAACAAACATACAAAATTCAAAACAATATCTAGTTAAGTGTGGCAAATTGATTATATGCATGTAGGGTCCTACAATCCTAAATTACATTAGAATAAAGAAAAATAATCAAAATCATACTGCAAAAAAGAGTAAGAGTTAGAGATATTGATGGCAGAATTTTAGAAGATAGAACATAGAAGAATGAGGGGCCTGAGAGACAGTGCAGTGGGTAGGGCACTTGCTTTGCATGTGCCTGACCCAGGTTCGATCCCAAGTATCCCATTTGGTCCCCTGAGCCCAGTCAGGGGTGGTCCCTGACTGCAGAGCCAGGAATAAGTCCTAAGCACTGCAGAATGTGACTCAAAAACTGAAAAAGAAAATAAATGTATGAATAATGATGGCTGTTAGCTGAACAGAGGAAGGAGAAATTTGGCCTGCAGAATTTCAAGATGATTCAAGCAGTGAAAAATAGCAGGTTGGTTGGGCTTTTGAGTGGAAGATTACTTGAAGTAAGGAATATTTATACTAACTGATCCCCTTAAGCTCAGCTGGAGGCAACCCTACTTCCTTGACGCCAGTAGAAATCCAAAGAATCACCCACAGAAGCAGACAAATCAAACGGGAGTCCACAGGAGCTGCTTCTCTGTTAAACAGAGAGATTGGGGCCGAGAGATAGAATGGGGCCAAGTCACTTGCCCATCCCTCAGCCTCCGTGTAATCCCTGGTGCTCTGTATGGCCTTTGAGCATCACCAGGAGCCATCTCTGAGCACAGACCTAGGAGCAAGCCCTGAGAACCGCTGGATGTGCCTTCTTCCTCCAAAAAAGATTTTTTAGAAGGAAGCAAAGGCCACTGTATCAGATGCTCTAACTTCCACCCAACCCAGGGCACTCCCAAGCACAGTGGCAAATGCCAGGCTTCTTTTTCAGCCTGGAAATTGGAGGAATCCTCTGGAGAAACGGGGAACAAAGAAGAGGAGTTAGTGATGCTATAGAATGACTAAAATATCTTATTCCCAAGGTTCTTGTGCCTCTCGCCTCTTCTCCCCTCCCCTCTTCTCCTCATCCCTCCCCTCTTGTCCCTTCCCTTCCCTTCCCCCCTTATATCCTCCCCTTCTCTTCCTCTTTTCCTCTCCCCTCCCCTCTTCTCCCCTTTCCTCTTCTTCCTTCCTCTCCTCTCTCCTATCCTCTCCTCTTCTCTTCTTTTCCTTACTTAAAGTTTTTTTAAATATATAGTTTTTTTGAAAAAAATTTAGAGATGGTCAGAGGGAGAGAGGGAAGGGGAGAGAGAGAGAGAGAACATTGGCTTGGGATAAAAAGCCTTGCCCTTCCTTCCTTCCTTCCTTCCTTCCTTCCTTCCTTCCTTCCTTCCTTCCTTCTTCCTTCCTTCAAGTTAGTTACTCCTGTTCGTTCCACACCTGTCCTTTCCTTCAGCAGCGATCATGGTCCACTGTCATTATGGCCAATTCCCTGCCACCTGCAGCCTACTTTATGACAAGAACTTTAATTTTAACTTTAGGTTATGTGCTTTACATTACTGCTACTGATAGGGTTTTATTCTTAATACTTTCCACCTTTCAATGACCTTCTTCTTCCCAGTAGCCACCTCCCTTCATCATTGCCATCAAGTTCACTTCCCTGTCCTATCCCCCCTGCCCCCCAAAAGTGGCAAACTTTCTACTGGAGAACCGTGGTTCTCCTGTTCTTCATTTCTATTGGTTTGGGACCTTTGTTATTCTCCAATTATGTTTCTTTTGTTCTGAGGGACCAAAAACAATGTAGAACAGACATTTGCACTACTGTGTTCATTGCAACACTGATTCACAATAGCTAAAATCTGGAAACAACCCAAATGCCCAAGAACAGATGATAGATAAAGAGATTAGGGTACATCTACACAATGGAGAGTGAGCTGGATTTTCACCCAAGTTGTATAGACAACTTGAACACATAGATGACTAACTTCCAGTGGCTGAGTCTCTTTTAAGAGGTGGGGGTAAGGGGTAGGGGTTATCAGTAAAAAAAAAAAATCCTTTATTGCAAAGCAAGAAGGTCCAAATTTTGTCAGCCCTTTCTAAAGTCTCCACCACTGCTCCTTCAACACATAGCTTTCAGAAAGTTGCATCAGAACAATTTCTCACTTAGTCTTCACTGCTAAAACTGCTACCATGTAAGGGAGGATCAAAATAAATAAATAAAAGATTGAAGGAAGTAAACCAGAGGAAGTAAATTATGGAGAGAGAAAAAGATAACATTTTTTTAAAAAAGTAATCTGAATGAGAGATTTTATATTCGTAAATTAATAGGATATCATTTGGGTTTTTTTTTTTAGAAAGGGCCTTTCACAATGGAGACTGTCCTTCAAAGAGTAAAACAAGCATAAGTACATGATTAATAGGGTGGAAAATGTAATAAAATTAAAAGATTATTGCAAAATTTTCAAAATTCAGTGGAAGTCCTAAAAATAAATCATAAATAAACAAGAAAACATAGAGGAAGAAATGACCAGAAGAGTAATATAATCATTTATAATAAGGAGTTTCCAAAATTGAAAAACTTTTATAGCACACAGGCCTTGTAAGTGGCTCAGGAAAATAAAAGGTTCAGCAAATTCATAATGAAATTTCATAACATAGGGGATTAAAAATAAAAACTTCAGGGTTTTTCTTGGGGGGAAACTTTGGATTCTGAGAAACAGCACTGCAATGTAAATGATGTGGAATCATTCTTACAAAAAGCTAAGAAAAGTGTTGCTAATTTAGAATTTTATACCCACTCATCCAACAGAGATGACATTTACTCCTAAACATCTGTGGAAGGTGGCTAAGATAAGAAGATGAGAGGGAAAAAAAGTATTTGACCCAGGAGAAAGGGAGTTCCCAGAATGTTGATTTAGAAAAGTGTCTGATAATGTCCTTGAGTACACACCTGTCCAGCCCCTGGAGCACAACTGTTCAGTCATCATATCTGTGGCATCCTGAGGTCACAGTTTGGTTTAGGGAGCCTGCGACAGATGTCTCTGAGGAGGAATGGTAGTTTTAGATTACCTGATGAGCTTCCCTACATGCAAAGAGTTTTATTACTCCCATAAAGGATCAGAATAGAAGCTATCAGTATAGATTTGTGAGGGCATGAATGATTTAAGAACAGCACAAATTGTATATAAAAATAATTGTGGTATAGGCCTGGGTGCTCCGATCAATATATGATGGAAACATAATCATGAAAATTTGTTACTGTATCTCATGGTGATTCAATAAAATTTTTTAAATAATAAATGTGGACATATAAGCACATAAACATAATCTATACCTTAAAAGTGAAAATGATCAAATCACCATTTTTATGGAAACAATGATTATTGTGGTGGCTATAAAATGTGCTGAGCTACTGCCCCTCCCGACCCCCTGAAGTTTTGTAAAAAGTTTATTGTAGGGCCAGAAAGGTAGTATAGTGGGTAGGACTTTTCCTTGTATGTAGCTGACCTACGTTCAATTCCCAGCATCCCATATGGTCCCCTCAGCACTACCGGGAGTGATTCCTGAGTGCAGCCTAGAGTAAGCCCGAAGCACCATTTGTAGCCCAAAATACAAAAAATAAGTTAATTTGTTTTCTGTTGAGGAGTTAAAATGTCTACGTTATAAAAAAAAAAAAACCAAGAAATAGCAATATAAGCACATTATCTAGAAATATAGAAGTATTTGATCAGATGCCATTGGGCTACACTAGCGCACAGGGACGAATGTAGACATTATTGGCTCCCGCTCAAGCAAATCGATGAGTAACGGGATATCAAGTGATCAAGTGATGGAAGTAAATGTAGGAACAGAGAACTGCAAGAGATAGTTGTTTCTGGAAAATAGATATGGAAGTGGAATGCATCAGGTATTCTAGAGGCCTCATAAGAGTTATTGGCTGTTTCTTATACAAATGTATGCATGTCTTAATTTAACCTTAGCAGAACTGTGTGCCTTAGTACA